AGCAAGCACCGGTTCATCACGTGACCAGACAACAGTTGTAGGATAGCAAGCACCGGTTCATCACGTGACCAGACAACAGTCGTAGGGAAGCAAGCACCGGTTCATCACGTGACCAGAAAACAGTTGTAGGGTAGCAAGCACCAGTTCATCACGTGACCAGACAACAGTTGTAGGGTAGCAAGCACCAGTTCATCAGGTGACCAGACAACAGTCGTAGGGTGGCAAGCACCGGTTCATCACGTGACCAGACAACAGTCGTAGGGTAGCAAGCACCGGTTCATCACGTGACCAGACAACAGTTTTACGGTAGCACACATTAGCTATAGTTGGTTTGGTAAATTGTCTGGGAAACAGTCGAAATTGATTAATATGCATTTATATAGCGAGTCAGGTAACAATTAATGTTGGTAGGTATGAACAGTTATATAGCGAGCCAGGTAACAATTAATATCGGTAGGTATGAACAGTTATATAGCGAGTCAGGTAACAATTAATATCGGTAGGTATGAACAGTTATATAGCGACTCAGGTAACAATTAATGTTGGTAGGTATGAACAGTTATATAGCGAGTCAGGTAACAATTAATGTCGGTAGGTATGAACAGTTATAGTTTGGTTTTGTCACAAAATGCATGTTTGTCCACTGGAATGCCTGTATGTTACAAAGCATCATGACAACTATTCACCATTTATCACATGATTATCATGTTGTTCCCTTACAGCACTCCATATCACTCACATTTATACAGCAGGTCAGGGTTTCCACGACTAGGGCAGAAATAAAGCATCATCTGGGAAAGGAATCTGGGAAAATGTAGTACAATATTAATGTACAGGAAAATCACAGATGATGAGGAGGATAAATTGTTATGATTGACTTGCATTCATTTGTTGACCAATCTCTGTAGTAAAGGATGAAGAATATATATTATATATATATAAACATTGTGATATATCAGTGTTAATGTTAATAACATGATAACATAAAGTAGGTGATGCTTGTGTCAGACCTATAGCTGATGGGCATGTAGCTATATCATTATATAAGTAGGGAATATAATTTCAGGCCTATAGCTAATGGTTCATAGCTTTATAAGAAGATGATGGTAGTGTTAGGTCTGAAGCTGACATGTTTGTAGATATATAATTATAACAAAGGAATGATATGTTCTACCTCATAGTGTTTACTGATGGTACAGCTAGTGTTGGCCCTATATATAGAGCCAGTTATTTACCTATTTATTGCATTTTTTAAAGTGTATATCAGAAATCATGACATAAAAGTGCAATCTATCACCTATCAAAATGGTAATTTGCACTAGTTAAAAATTTGCAGTTTCTTGGGATTGAAAATACAGGACAGAAAACCAGTCACTGTATATATGTAGTATGTACTATGTAACTAACTGTCCCTGCTGACTATGTACTTCCTAAACAGAAACCCAATCAGTACAATAACCTATATCTATATGTAGTACTATATAACAGTATATCTGTATGTAGTACTATATAACAGTATATCTATATGTGGTACTATGTAACAGCATATCTATATGTAGTACTATATAACAGTATATCTATATGTATTACTATATGTAACAGTATATCTATATGTAGTACTGTATATAACAGTATATCTGTATGTAGTACTATATATAACAGTATATCTGTATGTAGTACTATGTATCAGTATATCTATATGTAGTACTATATAACAGTCTATCTATATGTAGTAATATATATAACAGTATATCTGTATGTAGTACTATGTATCAGTATATCTATATGTAGTACTATATAACAGTATATCCGTATGTAGTACTATGTAACAGTATATCTATATGTAGTACTATATATAACAGTATATCTATATGTAGTACTATATATAACAGTATATCTATATGTAGTACTGTATATAACAGTATATCTGTATGTAGTACTATGTATCAGTATATCTATATGTAGTACTATATAACAGTATATCTATATGTATTACTATATATAACAGTATATCTATATGTAGTACTGTATATAACAGTATATCTGTATGTAGTACTATGTATCAGTATATCTATATGTAGTACTATATAACAGGATATCTATATGTAGTACTATATGTAACAGTATATCTATATGTAGTACTATATATAACAGTATATCTATATGTATTACTATATATAACAGTATATCTATATGTAGTACTATATATAACAGTATATCTATATGTAGTACTATGTAACAGTATATCTATATGTAGTACTATATATAACAGTATATCTATATGTAGTACTGTATATAACAGTATATCTGTATGTAGTACTATATAACAGTATATCTGTATGTAGTAATATATAACAGTATATCTGTATGTAGTACTATATAACAGTATATCTGTATGTAGTAATATATAACAGTATATCTGTATGTAGTACTATGTATCAGTATATCTATATGTAGTACTATATAACAGTATATCTATATGTGGTACTATGTAACAGCATATCTATATGTAGTACTATATGTAACAGTATATCTATATGTAGTACTATATAACAGTATATCTATATGTAGTACTATATAACAGTATATCTATATGTAGTACTATATAACAGTATATCTATATGTAGTACTATATGTAACAGTATATCTATATGTAGTACTGTATATAACAGTATATCTGTATGTAGTACTATATAACAGTATATCTTTATGTAGTACTATATAACAGTATATATGTATGTAGTACTATATAACAGTATATTTGTATGTAGTACTATATAACAGTATATCTATATGTAGTACTATATAACAGTATATCTATATGTAGTACTAT